TATGCCTCCCACTCTCCCATCCCTGTATTTCCCCTCCCCCTACCCATACCACTAGTTTGTTCTCTGTATTTGTGAGTCTGCTTCTTTTTTATTATATTCACTACTTTGTTGTATTTTTTAGATTCCACATGTAAGTGATATCATGCAATATTTTTGTCTCTGTCTGACTTATTTCACTTAGCATAATGCCCTCCAAGTCCATCCATGTTGCTGCAGATGGCAAAATTTCATTCCTTTTTTCTTTTTTTTAATAAATTTATTTATTTATTTTTGGCTGTGTTGGGTCTTCATTGCTGCATGCAGGCTTTCTCTAGTTGCGGTGAGCAGGGACTACTCTTCGTTGCGGTGCATGGGCTTCTTGTTGCAGTGGCTTCTCTTGTTGTAGAGCACGGGCTCTAGGCATCCAGGGTTCAGTAGTTGTGGCACACAGGCTCAGTGTTAGTGGCACGCAGGCTCTAGAGTGCATGCTCAGTAGTTGTGGCGCACAAGCTTAGCTGCTCCACAGCATGTGGGATCTTCCCAGACCAGGGCTTGAACTCATGTCCCCTGCATTGGCAGGTGGATCCTTAACCACTGCGCCACCAGGGAAGTCCCTCGTTCCTTTTTTATGGTGAGTAGTAGTCCATTGTGTGTGTATATATATATATATATATATATATATATATATATATACCATATATTCTTTATCCATACATCTGTTTTTTTTTTTATTTTTTAAAAAATATTTATATATTTAGGTTGCACCAGGTCTTAGTTGCAGCAGGCGGACTCCTTAGTTGTGGCATGTGAACTCTTAGTTGCGGCATGCATATGGGGTCTAGTTCCCGGACCAGGGATCGAACCCGGGCCCCTTGCATTGGGAGCGTGGAGTCTTGCCCACTGTACCACCAGGGAAGTCCCTCATCTGTTTTTTTAAAAATAAATATTTTATTTATTTATTCTTTTTTTTGACTGCGCTGTGCGGCTTGTTGGATCTTAGTTCCCACACCAGGGATTGAACCTGGGGCACGACATTGAAAGCACTGAGTCTTAACCACTGGACCACCAGGGAACTCCCTCCATTCCTCTGTTGATGAACACTTAGCTTGCTTTCATACCTTGGCAATTGTAAATAATGCTGCTGTGAACATTGGGGTACATGTATCTTTTTGAATTAGTGTTTTTGTTTTTGTTTTTGGATATATACGCAGTAGTGGAATTGCTGGGTCATGTGGTAGTTCCATTTTTAGTATTTTAGGTTTTGAGAAACCTCCATACTGTTTTCCACCAATTTACATTCCCATCAGTAGTGTACAAGGGTTCTCTTTTCTCTGCATCCTCACCAACATTTGTTATTTGTGTTCTTTTTGATGATAGCCATTCTGACAGGTGTGAGGTGATAGCTCATTGTTATTTTGATTTGCATTTACTTGATGATTAGCCATGCTGAGCATCTTTTCGTGTGCCTGTTGCCCATCTGCATTTCCTCTTCGGGAGAATGTCTATCCACAGAGTAGTTTTTTTTTTTTTTTCCCACAGAGTAGTTTTTTTTTTTTTTTCCCACAGAGTAGTTTTAAAACTTAGTTGGAAAAACAAACAGACAAACAAAAACTTAGTTGGTGTCTGGTTCTTCTCAAGGGCAGAGGCCAGAACCACATACATTTTATAATTTCTTCCAAGACCTGGAATTGACTGGCCAGATCAAAGTCACTTAATAATGTTCTGTTGGCTGATGAATCTGAGCTGTCCCCAAGGCAGCTGTGCAGTTGTGAGGCACCAGGCCTTACTGGGTTGATCTCTTAAGATCAACTGCTTGTCTTCTTCTGTGAAATGGCAGTTGGGTTTCCCCATCCACAATGAGTGACTTGTATCCTTGTCACACTTTAGAGAAGTAGGGAGAACAACCTTCTTAGGAAAACTTACTGACCCCTTGGTTATTCTTGATCCTCCTGGAGAGATTTGTGTAGTCTGCAGACAGTGGGATGCCTGTGCCCTGTGAAGTTTTTGAACAAGGGAGTAGCTTTTAGCTAGCTAAGGGCCCAGAGGTCCTTCATACTCTGAGTGTGTGCAGTGGAGTTGCTAGCCTAGGATTTTGCAGTTATTTCTGTGGGTCCAGACTTACCAGACTTTTAGAAGGCACTGACCAAGTGCAAATTCAAAAGAATTTGGGGTTGTACTGAGGTGCCAACTTTTTATTTTGCCAAATAAGGATATTTAAAATAAATATCTAATTATATTTTTTATATTTAATACATGTTCATGGTACAACATTCAAAACAAACAAAAGGATATATATTGAATAAAATAAGTCTCATACTTCCTCTCCAGTTCCTTAACTATCCAGTTCCCCTCCCAAGAGGCAAACCGGGTTGCTTGATCATCCTTCCAGAGATAGCCCACGCATTTAAAAACAGGTACGAATGTATTGGCTCTCTCCCCTCCCCCAAATGAATGGTAGTGCATTCAATACCGTTTCAATCTTGAGTTGTTCCCCGCCCCCCGCACTTTTCTTAGAGATCTTTAAAAATCAGTACATAGAGAGCTGCCTTATTCTTTTTAATGGCTGCATAATGTTAGTAAGGATTAAAAACAATTACCATTGTTTTAATTTCAAAAGTATATTTAAGCACCAAAAAATTAGAAAGAATGTGATCTTAGTAGGAAAGTTCTATAAATTAAATAAATTTAGTTCTGTGAAAAATTAATTCTGCACGTTTTTCCAAAGACCTGTTTGAAAACTATAGCTAGAGATAGTAAACCACTAAAGAAAGGGCTTTGAATAGGAGTGAGTTAGGGAGGCTTACTAGTCTCTGGTAGGCTGACTGAATGAGAGGGCAAGAGGAATGCAGTTGAGATATCCGTATCCTTCTCCTCATTTTATAGGGAGGAATAGACTTAGGGAAGCCTCCTTTATGTCCTACCATTGTACTACTCAGTTCACGATATCGTACAGTTAGCTAGTCTGTTGTCAAGATAGCTTATATTTAGTCAAGATAGCTTATATTTATGGCAGTTGTGTGTAAGTTGGATTGGAGTAGGGGGACTAGTTTCAGGGCTGTTTATTCCTTTTGTTAATATCTTTTGAGCAATTAATGTATGCATAATACCATTAGGAATTTTGAAAAGCATACCCTGTCAGTCCTGTGTGAGAAACACCCACATGAAGTGATTGGGGCCTGAACTTGGAGAGTGACTGAAATTGGAATGGGCAGCTGAAGTCTGAGAGCTTTGGGTTTGAAGAACTGACAAGACACTTGACCTTTGGGAAGAATAGGGAGAATAGAATTCATTTGCTGAATGTTTATTGAATGCCCAGTATCTGCAACCTTCTGTGGTTAGTTAACTCCAAGCGTACTGCCTTAGCAGATACTAGTCTAGGGTTGAAGAGGACACAGTGTACAGATGACACAAGAAAGCAGGCCTTTTCATTTAGGTAGCACATATTTATTAGGACAGTAGGGTACTAAGTGTTAGATGTAAGAAGAAGGAAATGGTGCATGTCCAAGTTGTAGGGAGACAATAACGAATAGGTAGAGTATAAACTTTCTCAATCTAGAATAGCATTCTGATTAATACAAGTGTATTTAAGAGAACAATTGCATATTTATTTTTCTTTATTTTTAACCATTTATTTATTTTTGGAATGAGCAATACATTTATATGGTTGAAAAATGAAAAAGTATTAAAAGGTATACTGCAAAAGGTCTCCATCCCACTTTTGCCCCTCCCTGCCGCTATACCCAGTTCCCCTCTTGTATCAGTCAAGTTTAATGCTGGAAACAGAAACCATTCAGTGTACTTGAACCACAAAAGGATTTAACACAAGAAATCGGCTACTTACAAGATTGTTGGAAGAGTTGGAGGAGTGGGACCCAAGGGGGCTGCCCTTAGAGTATAAATTTGAAGGACCCACCACTGGAGCTGTGATCTGGAGGTCAGGAATTCACTACTGCTACTGCCACCCCCACCATTGCTGCTTGACACTCAAGAAGCCAGTGACTAGACATTAGACCCTTACCATCGTAGACCAGCATGTCAGTAGCACCTGGGAGCTTGTTTAAAGCTCTTAGACCTTAGCTCCATCGACTGAATCAGAATCTGCATTTTAACAAGATCCTCTGATGATTTGCATTGCATGGAAGTTTGAGAGGTCCTGCACTGGAGCACTGCATCTGGCCGCTACAGTTGCTTCCAAATCCACAGGTCTCCATGACCTTGATTGCCAGTTGTAAGGGAGTGAAGGAAATGTAGTTGTTGGTTTTCCCAACTCTCAATCTAGAAGAGTGGATTGGAGATTGAAAGAACCCATCTAGTGAACTGACCATACCTCCACAAGTAACCAGTGTTAGTTTCTTATGTATTCTTCTAGATGTTTTATGCATATTTAAGCATGTATGAATATATATATTCTTTTTCATCTTGTTAAAAAAATAAGCAGTAACTTACTTACCATACACAGTGTTCTGCACCTTGCTCTTTTCATTTAATAGTTCATCATGGGAGAGCTTTCCATATCATGACATAGAGCCATCTTCTTTTTAACAACTTCATAGTACTCCAATATATAGATAACAAAATTCTTAAAATTCTTAAAATTGAGACTAACACAATCTGGGTTGCATGGTCATTTGAATTTTTTAACACATGTAAAATATAGTCTAGTTGTTAAATGTTTGCTTCCTGCCTCATTTGTGCTTGGGTCTTGTGTATATGTCATCTTGTTTAACTTGCACTGCAGCACAGTGTGTTGGGTATCCTTCTTCCACTTTACATGAAGGAACTCAGGCTCTGAAAGGTTAATTTAATCACAGACTAAGGAATATCCTGGATGGGATTTGAACCCCAGGTCTGTTAGCCTTCATAATTTTCAATTTGACACAATGACACAGAACCTCTAAATGATAGGCTTTATTTAGTACTTTGAGACCTACTCCTTTGGGAAGAGGTTTGGAAGGGTATCATTTTGATTATTTTGGGTGGGTATTAAAGGCATTTAATTTTCTTTTTTTTTCCTGACTCAGGTATCCAGCTCACATAGAAGATATTGATTACGAAGAAGGAAAAGTACTCATCCATTTCAAGCGTTGGAACCATCGTTATGATGAATGGTTCTGCTGGGACAGTCCTTATTTACGCCCTTTAGAGAAAATACAGCTGAGGAAAGAGGGCTTACATGAAGAGGAAGGATCATCTGTGAGTAACAAATCTGGGTAATTCAGTAATGAGTGGGGTCAGCCGTTAGGTACTTTATGTTCCAGCCTTTGATGTTTAGTGTGAAAGTCTATAGCATCTGGGGACCATCCTTATTTAGGCTTGTAGTGCAACTCTGAGATCTCCATGGCCCTGGGTGGGGGGGGGGGGGGGGTTGTTGAAGAATCTCAGCTGTCATCTGTTTGTATGACGTGATGGATTTGACAGCTCATAAACTAACTTGGTTGAGACTGCATTGATGATGAATGGGGACTTTCTCTATTTTACACCACTGTGTCCCTTTAGATCATTTAGTAAGCTCATCTGCTGTCTGATCATTTATTAAGCAATCATTCCATGTGGAGCATTGTGCTAGCCTCATATTAAGGTCTTTTATAAGACCTTGAAGAATATTCATTCTTCAAAATGTAGCAATGCAAACTGTGTGCCGGGAAAACAGTATGAAATATTAATGGTGAATGAGTGCCTCCTTTGTCAAAAGACCCTTTAAAAGTGTGGATGGCATTAGGTGGCATGAATGCTGCTTCCCTTAAGATGAAGTAGACTCTCTCCTTCCAGCTTGTGTAGTTGGTATGTTCCCTGGTGGTCCTGGGCTCTTAGACTCACTTTCAGGGACAGGATAGGATTATCATTGGTGCTGTGCTATGGCTGTCCAAAACTCTTAAAATGGCAAAAATCTGTGTCTAGCCCTTTTGTTTTGGCTCCCAATGCTGAACAGCAGAAACATCTTCCTCCATCCCAGTAGCCATCTCCCCTTCCTGCCCTTGTCAATTTCAGCTTCTTTTATGAATTCTGTTACTATGTATGTCCTATGAAATTGGATTGGTAACAGGATCTTTTTTGTTTTTTAATATTTTTTAGGAATTTCAAATAAATGAGCAGGTCCTTGCTTGCTGGTCTGATTGTCGTTTTTACCCAGCCAAAGTCACTGCTGTTAACAAGGATGGTAAGGCATTTGAGTTGTAATTGTTTTTACTCTTGACTTAAGGGTGAGTTTGTAATTTTGGAGTTTGAGAGTATATTTTCAGTATGTATATATTGCCTAGGAATCCTCTCTCTTTAAGTTAATTACTCTGTCAGGAGTTAGGAAGAAATTATAAATGGAGAGAAAGGTAGGTTAAAGAGGGGGAGTTTGGTTCTTTGCCTTCTAAAACAGTCATGGTTCATCTGTCACTCTGCTGGGAAGTGTGTAGGTTCTTGCTGTCTAGGAGTTCCTAATATAATAGATGAAATAAGTCCCTAATATTCCTTTTAGTTATTTGTGAACAGCCTAGAAATTAAGCAAACAGCAAACTTTTCTTAAAAATGTGCTTTGTGGATGCAAGGTGATTGAGAGTGGTCTGTAGTATCAGAGTTACTAGTTGAAATTGGGGTACTGGGATTTAGAGCACTGAGCTGGAATGCCTTTGCCAGAGTTTAGAACATGTGAGGAGTCAGGACCGGGAACATGTCCCAAAGAGGCTCATTTTGCTAATACAAAGGCAAGAGAAGAGGAGGGTTATGAAGGTAATATGTGTGGTCAGCATCCTGACACACAGAGAACACACTGGGGGTTCAAGTGATACCTTTTTTCCTTTTTTTTAACATTTTCTGCCAAGATGTTTGTGGTATGTCCATGATTCCTGCAGTGAATGTTTAGGGCAAACAGACCTCTTAGTACCAGTGTTGGGGTGACTCTAAGGCCACACTGATTTTTCATTCAAGGAAGTTATTCAAGTATTTATTCAGCACTCTGCTGGACTTTGGGGTGACCAAGAAGTTTTGTCTGAGAATGGGTTGAAATGGTCAAAAATGAACATACATTTGCGTGTAGCAGAAATTTTAGTTCCTCTCTTGCTACATTCACGCCACCCCCAGTCCCGGCAGCTATTAGACCAGTGTGGGTTGACAGATGTAGGTTATCCTTAAACCACAGTTCTTTTACCACAGGCCTCCAAAGCAAGGTTGTATCTTCTAAGTTGTCTAAACAGTTACTGATCCTCCTGTTCATGGATTAAGTCTTTTTGGATAGTCCCTTGTTTCCCTAAGTTACTTTATAAGCCAGTGCTCAAAATAAAATCCTGTTACTATTTTTCATATGTATCACTTTAACCTAAAAATTTATTTTAAAGGAAAGCTTACATGTTATTAAACTGCTTTAAATCCTTTTAGTAAAAGACGTAGTTTATTATATCAAACACTCATTAAATACAATTTATAGATCCATTTTTATTAAAATGGTGACTGATCTCACTTAATATGGGGAAAATCAAGTCAAACATAGAAGAAAAAGCTACAAGGATATACTGTACAGCACAGGTAATATAGCCAATATATATTTTTAATAAATTTATTTTATTTATTTATTTTTGGCTGCATTGGGTCTTTGTTGTTGCACGCGGGCTTTCTCTAGTTGTGGCAAGTGGGGGCCACTCTTCGTTGCGATGCGCGGGCTTCTCATCATGGTGGCTTCTCCTGTTGCAGAGCACGGGCTCTAGGCGCGTGGACTTCAGTAGTTGTAGAATGTGCGCTCAGTAGTTGTGGCTCGTGGGCTGTAGAGCACAGGCTCAGCAGCTGTGGTGCACAGGCTTTGTTGCTCCGCGGCATGTGGGATCTTCCCGGACCAGGGCTCGAACCCGTGTCCCCTGCACTGGCAGGCAGATTCTTAACCACTGCACCACCAGGGAAGCCCTGGGTCTGAAATCTTTTGAACTGATCATTTAAGGACTAAAAGTCATTGACTGAATTATTGGCCGTAGTTAATTAAGGTTTTTAAATGTCTTTTAAACTTTGGCAACCAGAGCTTTGCAAGTTGTTTTAAAAAATCTTTTCAGTTTATTTCCTCCATGAGCTAAAATTATAGGAGGGAGAGTCTTGAGGTAATTTGTTCCTACAGTGGTCATTTGCTACCCTAATATATTAGTTCTGTAAGCTTCAAATTCTGTTCAGTGAATTTTAGTTAACTGGAGGACATTGAAAATGAGTGGATATTTTTGGGAGAACCTGTTTTCCCCAGAGTTCTTGAGTCTGAAGTCCTGTATTATGCTGCCATCCTTTCTGGTTCTTGAGATTAATTGGAAGAGGGAGGAGAAGGAGGGACATGGGGGAGGGGCAATCCTGAAAGTTAATGGAACCAGCTGTGTGGCATTAATGCTACCGTGGACAGCGAAGGAAAGCTAGCCTTTGTGGGTGCTCAGATCTGTGCCTGATTTTGAGATGAAATAATGACTCTTAGGTGCTGCCTTTGGGTTAGGTTTAATCCAGGGGAGCTGGCAGTTTCTAGCTCATGATTTATCCTAGTAACTCAGTTGCAGGATTGGGAGGGACAATGCTGGACTCTAATTTCACTCTTTCTCTGGTTAGCAGGGGCCACCACGGCTTAATGGTGCTGTGAGAAGAACCTCTGCAGGCAAGGTGGTGCCTTTATTTCCTGTAAAAGTTATTCTGTCTTTTTGGTGCTGCTAGGAGGAGACTGGGGATATAGTGAAGTCACTTTCTATAGCTTCATCTTAAGAAGGCTTTGTGTGATTTTTCTGCCATTCTTAACCTCCTTGATGGTTTTGCTGAGGCTGAGCATTGACTGAGCAGGCTGGTGGGTAGTGGCCCTAGCCAGAGTGGAGAGCACTGGCTGCTGGCATTGGGAATCTGGCATGACTGAATCACAACCAGATAGCAACTTTTATTTTTTTTAATTATTTTTTTGCAGCAATAAACTTGACATGTTTATTAATCAAACTATCACTTAAATTAAAAAAGTGCATAGAAAATAAACATGTCTTAAAACTCCTTTTTTTTTTACAACTATGTACACTTTTTACTTTTACATTCAATCTTTTGTTGACAGCTTTCAGCACTATTATTTTTTGCACTGTTAAAGTATTTTCCTTCATCCCTGTCACAGGGAGTTAACACTGATGTATTTCAGACACACTTTTTCTTTTTTTTCTCTCTTTTTCTCTACGCAGAAGCTTGGAAGAACACAAGGAAAAAAAACCCCAAAAGATCTGTTTTACATGAATAAGTTGTCAAGAAATGTCTTATTTCTAGAAAAGAAGCTTGTCATCTGTTGAGTTTTTGATAGCAACTTTCAGTTTCTTTTTTTTTTTTTTTTTTTTTTCGTTAACCCTGCCGAACCCGCGTCTCCTGCATCAGCAGGCGGACTCTCAAGCACTGCGCCACCAGGGAAGCCCCTTAGGGATATTTTTTATTGCTGTCTGGAGAAAATGTTTTTTCTAGTTATATCTTCTATGTGTTAATTGCTAATATAGAGAAAAACTTTTTGTTTTTTTTTTTTTTTTTTTTTTTTTTTGCGGTACGCGGGCCTCTCACCGTTTTGGTCTCTCACGTTGCGGAGCACAGGCTCTGGACGCGCAGGCCCAGCAGCCATGGCCCACGGGCCCAGCCGCCCCACGGCGTCTTCCCGGACCGGGGCACGAACCCGTGTCCCCTGCATCGGCAGGCAGACTCTCAACCACTGCGCCACCAGGGAAGCCCCAGAGTTTCTTAAGGGAGTTATTTAGCACTTGGAAACTGGGGAGAGCAATGCCATGTTATTTAGCCCTTTTCATCTGGAATGATTCCTTGGCAATGGCAGTTAAGCATCATTTTGTGTGAAGGCAGCCACACCTGGTAGCCTTGTTAGATCCTTGGTCTGTGTTGGAGAAAAAGAAGGGATTCTGCTTCCAGGGAATCTTTGTTTGGAAGCCATCTCTGGTGAGTTGACCTCACCTCTGCTCAGCTCCCTGTTTTTATGCCGAGGATGTCAGACCCGCTTGTCTGTCAGGGGGTTTGTGCCCCTGCTCTGCAAGGCATTCTCTGGGGGAAACTGAAAGTAGGTTCACATTTACAACAAAATGAGGAATCATTCCTTCCTGTTGATTTGTGGTTAACTTGAGTGCACAGGCGAATCAGGTCCCTCTTCCTTAAAATTATGCATATCCTTGGGTCTCGCCCCCCTCGTCCCCTCCTTGTACCCCAGTTCAATCTCTTTGTTCATTGCCTGAAGTCTGCATTTAAACTGGGAGATTTTATGGAAATGGTCTTATTTCTAGAGTCTCTGGTTGAAGCAGTTACTATTTTTCGTTTTCTTCATGCTGTAACTGAACCTACATTTGAAATGTGGGAACACTGGGACTATGAGCAGCTTCGAATAGAGATAAAAGGACAATTTAGGCCCATACATGTAGCTGCTAGCTCGGCTCCTACCTTCAATGGGGGAAGGAGGTTCTCTGTCAAAGTGACTTGGTAGATGATGGTAATTAGAACCACATATTGATCCCTTGCTCTGTGACAGTCCCTTTGCTAAGCAATTTCCATATCTGATCTTATTTAGTCTTCACATAAACGTGGAAAGGTTGTTGCCGTCAACCCCATCCACATTTTACAGATGAGGAACTGGGCTCACAGGAGAAACTGCTTGAGGTTACAGAGCATATAGGTAAATGGTAGCCTGAGGTCTGCATGGAGGTCTGTGGTGCTCCAAGTTTCCTGAAACTGCAGTTCCTACAGTACCACGCTGCTTCTCTGGATCAGGGTTTTCCTTAAACAGCAGAAGTTGTCAGGGCCAGATGCTTGCTGGTGGTGTGTGTGTGTGTACGTGCACCTGATATGGTAGGGTGAGTGTAGATGGTCTGTACTTCCTGGAGCCCGGTGGTGTCTTGAGAGCCCTGATTGGAGACAGGCCCTGTCCCAGTCCCTGCTTGATGATTATAAGCAGTTCATTCTCCTTGCTCTAGACTCCTCTGAGCAGTTAGAAATGGGAGAAGGAATTGGACTAGATGAGCATTTTTGGAAATTGTTGGCTACAGAACCTAAGCCCATTATGTAAAATTCCTAAGAGGAAAAGACTTAGGGGGAGGTTGCCTGCAAACATCCACTTATCCCATCCCTCTGCCCACCCCCTTAGGCACATCAGGACTTTGAGAAACCATGTTTGAAAGCTCCTATCCATGATATTATGGAATTCTC